TTGAAATAAGACAGTGACTAGGAGACTGAACAACTACACCTTCCTCTCTTCTAACAAAAATGACAACTGCTTCTTTACCAACGACTTCACTTTAATCTCCCTGGCTCCTAAATAAAAATTATTAAGATAACCACTCATTCATTGCACCCACTTCCAGGCAATATCCAATCCAGACCAATCCTCTGTTCCTCAAACCCTCTTTAGAATGGCCAAGGAAAATCCCATGGTTCCTCTCCCCCTGCCCAATAAATTGAACTTCTTTTTCTTACAGATGTGCATGTGATTGTCTTTGTCTCATGAGCTTTAACTTGCTGTGGGCATCTGTTGCTTTGGAGCAGCCCAGCATTGAGTTCTACTTCTGAAAAATGTCTTGACATCCCTTAAAGAGTTGGATGCCAGTCTAGGAAGATTAGTATCTGGGCCTCTTCTAGGCCAAGGTCAGGCATGTGCCTTAGCTTAAAAATTAGACACCCTCCCTAGGATTTGACACCTGAGTGAGAGGCACAGCACCAGGGTTGGTGTTCAGGACAGACTGGCCGTGTTGCAACACCAGGGACATGCTTCCTGCTTCCTGGGCCTCTCACCCTGCCCATTCCTAGCCAAGGCCCTCCGCTTTCTCACTGAAACAGAAGTTCCCTTATCCTAGTCGCAGGGCATGCGATGGCGGTATGGCTCGCTGTGTCCCTGCACTGTGGCTCAAACCTCTAGGAGGAGGCATGCAGTCAGGCAATCTGTGGGGCTCCCACCCCATGGCAGCATCTAGGTGTGAATGTTTACAGCTGAAGCCCCAGCAGGCGGATGTTACAGTGTGCTCCTTCACTTTATCTGTCGGTCCATAGGCGGCCTGCGTTAGAGCCCCTGCCTTCTCTTCTGCCATCCGCTGTTCAACGCTGGTGTGTTCTTCCATCAATATGTTCCTCTTGACATCCAGCTCCTTGTGTGTGTGCCCGCCAGGGTCTCAGGGATTTTATAGGCACAGGATGGGGGTGTGGCAGGTCAGGGTGGTCTTGGGAAATACAACCAAATGCCTGTCCTCACCTAGGTCCGTGGGCATAGGCCCAGGGGTGGAGCCCTCACCAGAGACCCTCCCAGCATTTCCCTGCCCCTCTTCTCGTATTGCCATCCATGTAGTAACTCCTTTCACTTAATTAAGCCAGGTTCGATTTTGCTCTTGCTTTTCAGCAAAAAGTGTGCAGATGCACAGCTGTCATCTGAAGAGTGGCACTCACTCTCCACCTGAATGGAGGAGCTCGTTCTGCATCAGGGTGGGTGAAAACGCCTTGGTTTGATCCACTCCCGGGGCTGAGGCAGGGACTCTCAGGCCCCCGGAATGTTGTTTCCATCATTTTATTAACGTGGAAAATATGTCCCTTTATTCTGATTGTGTGGTCACCAACAACCGCTGATTTTTAACGTGGACTCTCATGCACTCTGATAAGAGGGTCCCTGATGATCAGGCGCAGCTCCTTGTCACTGAGAAGCAACAACTCCTATTTATAAATGAATCCCTTGTCATTGAGCTTTATCCCACAATGGGGAGTTGGTTAACAGGAGGTGGTTATTCTGTGCCAGAACAATATGTGTGTTCTGACAAAATCAAATCACCAGCTCTGAAGACCCACAGATCTCACAGGCTGGGTTTGATCCACCAAAGAATGCTGCCTCCATCACTGCTGGCTGCCCTCCATGGCATTTCTATCTGTGACAACTGCCACCAGCTACGTCCACTGAACGTCAACATCCCAAACAGGCACTAAGCTTTGTGCACTCAGTCTTTGCTCAAATGTTCTTTATACTAGGGTGACTTGATCCAAAGGGATTTCAGGATAATACACGGAGATCAGGAAAGATTATGCTGTGGTTCATCTCTTCCTTTTGTCACGGTGACAAGCGCTGCTGCCCACCTATGTCTAGACTGGGCCCTGCTGTCATGTTTGAGGGTAGAAAGCAGGCTCTGTCTGTGCCTGGGAATCCTTGAGTTAGTTCCTGGAGTCAAAGCACCTCCCATTGTCTTTAGAACTAACTGCTCAGAATGTTCTTGGAAGTATTTTACTTGTACTCAAGAGCATTTGTTTTTGAAATTCGGTCTGATATAGTAGTTAAAGCACAGTCTGCCAGAGTGTGACACGTGACACCACCGGTCACCAGCTTGACCTCAGGCAACTTACCCTCTCTGTGCCTCCCTTTCCCCACCTGAACATAGAAATAATGGTAGGACCGACCTCACAGGGCTGCTGTCATGTTTAAATGCATTAATAGATGTAAACTCCCTAGGACAGGTACCTACATTCCTACAACTTATTAAGAATTATGTGTTAGCTGTTATTCTATAATCACCTGAGAGTAACATGTGTAAGCCATAGAATTTCTCAGGGTTTGCCGGCTTCTTTGAAAATAAAGGGAAACTGTGGCACTGGGAAACTGGCACAGCAATGGGTCTTGGTCTAATGGGTTTATAGGTGAAAAGATTCTATTTGAAAAGTTTCTCGATTTCCATACTGTAAACGCTGTTTTGTTAGTTAACTGCTCCATTTTGAAATTTGCAACCCCCTCTCTCTCCACGGATATAAACTGACATGTGAACTCCACAAAGGCTGCCATGTGTCAACGCTGTATCTCCACTGCCTGGAATGGTGCTGTGGGACATAGTACCTGCCCAATTCATCTAAGTGAACACAAGAGGTTTTGAAGTGGTCATTGGTCAACATTATCTGAGTTTTCACAAGACCTCAGTATACCTGGGAAAGCACTTCACAAGTGATAGACAAGGCATGCACTTTAAAAGCAAAATTCACAGAGCGTTCTACTGGACGGTGCTGCTCTAAAGAATTCATGCTTCTTCTTTTTTTAAAATTTAGCTGTTCTTTATTAACATGGAATTTGGGGTGGTGAGGGTAGCCCCAACCTCCGGGAGGACGAGGTAGGTTCACAGTGTTTCCAGCTCACACCTTTCCCGGGTCTTCCTTCAGTGACACAGTTCGGCTAAAAACAAGCTTTCCCTGATGGCTGTCTGGATCCACAGAGAAGTACCCAAGACACTCAAACTGGAACTCGTTGAAGGGTTTGCCAGGGCCACAGAGCAGTCCACTAATGCTGCCTCCACCATGCATAGTGATGCTGGGTTCAGTCACTTAAGAATCCACCAGGCACCTAGTAGGATCTTCAGGGTTCTTGTGCTGGAATAGTCGCTCATAGAGGCGAACCTGGCACATTAAAGGCTGTGACACCCAGTGAATAAAGGTCTTCGGCTTCTCTCCAGCATCCGCCCTTCTGCACGTCACCTCCAGACTCTACACAACCACTGGGGCCCTTGAACAACACGCTGCAGCTCAATGACGTAGCCTGTATGTCTCAGGCCTACAGGCTGGCCCCAAGCCAGGCGCTTAAAGCCTGGCTCTGGCTCCTCCTTGAAGTCAGTCCTCTCAATGAACACAATGGGTGCGAAAGGAACCTGATGGAAGCCTTTGGTCTCATCAGCTGGGAAGCTGGGCACCTGGATGTCCAAAGACTTGGCAGCGGGAAATTTGGTGATGATGACCCGTCGTGACTCCAGCACAGCCATGGCTCATGGGGCTGTGTCATTCAGCATATCACGCACACAGGCTTCTAGAAAATGTGGCTCCATTGTGGTCTGTGCCACTGCCACTCCCACCCAGGCACAGAAGTTGTTGATGCCCTCAGGTGGGAAGCCCCGCCGTCGCAGGGCCGTGAGTGTGAAGAGCCGTGGGTCATCCCAGTCCTGCACAGCACCAGTTGCTACAAGCCGGAGGACCTTCCTCTGAGAGGCAGCAGCGTAGTGCAGGTTGAGGCGGCCACCCTCTCACTGAACAGGGCAATAGACGTCCAGTGCATTGCAAAGCCAGAAGTAGGAAGAGCATTGGGCCTGGAATTCCCTGGTGCAGAGTAAGTGAGTGATGTGCTCAATGGAGTCACAGAGGCAGTGTGTGTAGTCGTAGGTGGGATAGATGCACCATTTGTCCCCTGTGCGGTGGTGTGGTGTATACTTGACTCTGTGGGCTACAGGGTCCATCTCGCCATCCTCCATCACCAGCTTCATCCTTAGTGTGGCCTCACCCTCTGAAGTGACTCCTCCATGGGACCATCTCTCCAGGGTGAGGGCAGAGGATTATGGCCTTTGAGCTCCTCCCCTCGCTGGTGACACACATAAGCCAGACCCCTGCAGATGAGCTCCACAGCCCAGGAATATAGCTGGTCAAAATAGTCAGAGGCATATGTCACTCTGTAAGGTGTGCAACCCAGCCAGGCCACCATGTCATAGATGGCAGGGAAGAACTTTGCTTCCTCCTTCTTAGGGTTGGTGTCATCAAAGCACAGAAAACAGATGCCATTGTTGGCCTTGGCATAGCCAAAGTTGAAATTGATGGCTTTGGCATGTCCAATATGCAAGATTCCATTGGGTTCTGGTGGGAACCGGGTACGTCGGTGCCCACCAGTAATCTCCAGGTGCTGCTTTAGCAGATTCATGGTGTGTGGAGTCATCACATAGCCTGGGGTCTTGTAGTTTTCACCAGGCTTGTGGAACTTAAGGGCCTCTCCCCGGAGCTGCTCCATCCGAGACAGGGTCTGGTCAGCAGTCTCAGCGTTCTCTATCACATCTTTTGCTGTCCTCGGGTCTGTTTCCTCCAGCCGCACTTTGGCCACCTTGGGCTTCTTCTCCAGATCAGCCACCATCTTGGGGCCCAGAAGGTGGAGGACCTGCATGTCCACTTCGTTCTTGATCATTTTGCCACCTGCCCACTTGAGCACAGCCCGAGCCTCTCCCATCAGCAGCCCCCACGTTGAAACGGTAACGTTCCACCAGGAGCTGGGGCCGGTGCTTGTTAATGGCAGCCTCCACAGCCTCCTCAATCTGCTCTGGGGTCACAGTGACACCCACGCCACATTCCTGCTCAAAGTCCGCAGTGTCAATGGGGTCCAAGGGGTGACTCCGCACATAGTCAAGGGCAGCGCTCAGCTGGGGCTCAGTGTGGGTCTTCTTACTGGCTATGCAGCTTACAAGGAAGGAGAGACGCCGGGTATCCCTGAGTCGGGAGGCCAAGCCATGTAACAGGGTCCCGGTAGCCTTGTCAATGGTGGAGCCCAGGGTCTGCTGAGCCTGGGTAGCGGCCTCGCGCAGCTGCGCGCTCGGAGTCTGGTTCTTGAGCGTCTCGCGGGCCTTCTGCTCGCTCAGGCCGAGACCAGTGAAGAACAACAGGGAGTCCAGAGCCGCCATTGCAGAGACACTGGAAACCAAAATTTTTTATTTTTTATTTTTTTTTTACAAACACGGCCGTATTGGGGGAAGGGAGGAGGGACGGGTCAGTCTTCTTTCAGGCTTCCGAACACGGCAGCTGGCACGCTCTGCTGCTCTAGCTGGACCTCGTTGGGTTCCAGGTCCATCTCGTCCTCGTCCTCGTCCTCGTCCTCGTCCTCGTCCTCGTCCTCGTCCTCGTCCTCGTCCTCGCCCAGCTGGATCTCCTCGGGGTTGACCTGCTTCGCCAGCTCTGCCAGCTCCTCCCTGGAGGCATCGCTTCTCACGAACAGGATCTTGCTCTGGGCACGCAGGGACTGGTCTCGCTCCGCCTCGGCTGCCAGCTGTTCAGCGCGCTGTTCCAACAGCTTCATGTCATCCATGCCGCTCTGCCCAGGGGCCAGGTCGGACACGGTGCCCGTGGCGCTGTCCGAGACCTTGAGCATCTGCCAGGTCATGAAGTTGACCTGCGTGTTGTATGTGGCCTGCACGCTCTGCCGGATGGGCAGCATGTCCTTGATGGCGTCTTCGTTGCCGTGCCGTACCTCAAAGTCCTTCCATGTCTTCCAGAACGCCCCGGTCGTCCGGGGGTCGCAGATCTAGGAGAAGAAGCTGTGGACGGCCCGGGCGCGGTCGATCCCCCCAGCTTGCACTCCATGTCCGCGAACCGCAGGCACATCTTAAGTGCATGCTCGTCCGACAGCACCTCGATGGCCTTCTGGTGGATGCTGCGGGTGTGGGTGACCCCGTAGATCTCGGCCGCCTGCTTGATGCGGATGTTGAACATGTCGTACTGCTGTGCAGGCTCCACGGCCCTGGTGGCGCGCTCCTACACGGCCATGGCGTGCCGGGCCAGGCCCCACTCCTCCAGCTGCGCATACAGCAGGTACAAGGTCTTGGCTATTTTGGTGGGTAGCGGTCCAGAGCCTGTTCGAAGAGGTCCCGTGCCCGCTCCAGCCTGCGGCCCCCGTAGCGGGCGATTAATTTGGTCAGGTAGGTGCTCCAGATGTCCGACACGTTGGGCCGCTTGAACAGCGAGATGCAGCGCTCGTACGCCTTGAAGCTCTTCTCGAAGTACTTGTGCTCCTCCAGGAACAAGGCGTAGTTGATGACGATCTGGGGTGTCGCGATGCGCAGGTCCGGGAGGCGGTCGTACACGGCCTTGGTGGACTGGAAGGTGCTGAGGCTCTCCTCCAGGTCGGTGAGTATGGACCACACCTTCAGTGACTTGCACACGCGGTTCTGCATGGGCTCTGAGCCGTCGAAGTACTCGGCCCGGCGGGCAGGCAGCTCCCTGGCCTTCCGCAGCAGCCGCAGGGCCTCGTCATAGTTCTCGTGCCGGAGCTCCAGCTCCCCGCACTGACACCATAGGCTTGCCAGGTCATCCACCTGCTTGAAGTTCACCTTGGTGGCCTTCTCCAGGATGACACGGGCATCGTCCAGCTGCCCATTGTCCTCATAAAACTTGGCAAAGGCCACCCACAGAATGTGGGGTTTGCCTGTGGCCTTGAAGGGATCCACCGTCTGCACAGCCTCTGTGTAGGTGTTGATGGTCTCCCGGGGGCGGCCCTGGTGCAGGGCGACAGGCTTATGCCACTCGTGCACGTGGTGTGGGTTCTGGTGCAGGGGCCGTCTCCTTGTGCATTTAATACTTCTGGGCAGAATCTAAATACTGGGTTCTCCTGTAGTTCATCTTTAGTTAGTTACTAAGAAAGGATATAAGAGACATGTGCCTTCTGGAAACAAGTAGAAGCAATCACCTGGGTCACGTCCCTACAAACCCATGAATGTCAGGGAGCCAGTTACAGCAGGAGATTCAGCTACTTGAGGCAGGTGACAGACCTTCCATTCCTCGCTGAAGATGGGGTTTGTGTTTTTGTTTTGCCCCCAGTAGTCGTCTGGTGTTTGCACTATAACAACAACAAGAAAATTTATCTTTATATACTCTTTGCACCTCCTTTTTTGAGATACAAATATTTGAGGGGAGAGAAGTATCTACGGCTATATATGGAAACAATGTGGTCAGATCTACATTAGGAAAGGTATGAGCTGTCTCCCTAGTGGCCATGGGGGTGGGCAGGGTGTGTATGTCTTTGGGCATTTGTTTTTTATAAAGTGTATAATAAAAGAATTGTGCTACTAACAACAACAACAAAAAAAAAAACAAGAATTCATGCTTCTGTCTGGAAACTCACAGTATGGTGATTCTTAAATCATGGGATTCTCATAAGCCAAAGAGATTGAGTGCATTTTTGAAAAATGAACTCCTTAGGGACAGGGCCTGAGTTGATGCAACTGGCTCTGCAGGACACTCCTGCCCCCGGTGCCCTCATCGGGACAGAGGCCCTTCATGGTTTCTGATGATGGTGCTGGCTCCCAAAACCAGGCTTTCAGGCTCTCTGGCCCCCAAAACAAGTATTAGGAATGACCAGGAAATCATCCCAGGGAACTTGCACTAAAGCACAGAGGCCCATCAAGTCCCCAAGCCCAGATGCTGCCATATTCTGTATATACCGGGTCGAGCACGAAGAGGTCCACCCTTTGCCCTGTGGAGAGGGCCACCAGGGTTGTGCTAGCCTACAGGGCATAATCTGTGGCCACAATGTTGTGGCCAGCCTGCAGGGTGTCCCTTTCAGAAGGCTTATCTTCTGAGGTCTGTGGAAGAGAGGAGAGAAACACGGTATGTTATGGTCTTAGGAGACGACCCTTTGTCAGAGACCTGGGATTCAGATCTCCTCGAACCACTGAAGGAAGTGCAGTTCTTAGAATTTTAAGCTTCCACAGATCTATCCAGAGGAAATGAGTTGCCACATTACTGACAATTCTAGCTGAGCCGTGGCAAAGGCCATTTTGGGACTTCTTCCTTCGTATTTTCCAAACGCACGTGCCTGCAGCCTGCCAAGAAAAGCACTCCCAGATGCTAAAATCACAGCCCTTCTTCATCATAAGCCGCGCTCCTGAGACAGTATAGTCACGCCTCACGTATCACTGAGCTGAGGGTGCTGCGTCTTATTCTGCACACTGAACATCCTCTGAAGTACGTGGCACCGTCACCTCCGTGGCTCGGAGGGAGAACTCAGAACAAAACAACCTGAAATTAGCAATCTACTGCAGCTGGAGCAGCTGCACAACTCACTCAGCAGCAGGAAGCCCTGACTCCGGCTTTCTCTCTGACTCTGTGGATGCTCCTCATTTGCTTCTCTTCCCCACAGCTCCTCTTCCTCTGGTTCTTTAAATCTTGGTGTTCTTTCTAGTTTTTACTGTGGCCCTTGGTGCATCCAGCCAGTGCAAATATTTCTTCCTCACCTCCTTATTCAAAATTAGGACTCTCGGCTGCTACGTTTGTATTAAGTCATGCCACCACCCACACCCACCACACACACACACACACACACACACACACACACACACACACACACACACTCTTGATGGCATAGGAGATACAGTCCTGACCCAGAGTGACCCAATCAACCTCTCTCCTCCAGAAATGTAGAATTAGAGGACATTCTGGTGATGTAGAGTTAGAAGCCTTGTAAACCTGAATGGTCTCACCCGCCATGCTCTGACCTCATGGTTTGGTCTTCCAGGTGCTTGATGCCATGAGCACTCAGCAGCTTCTTTGAAGTCCCCAACACATTTTTATTCATGGGTTTAGTGTCTGACTTCCCAGCTATACTGTAAGCGACCTGAGGGAGATACCCACTCCATCTCATTCGTCACACAATGTGGGCCATGATCGTTACATTTAATTAACACATACACACGGATTCATATATATGTAAGTTTACACACACATAAATATATACATGCATACATGTAGTGGTTTTCAGCGTAAGAATCCTACACTTGATTTTTAGAGTTATACTATTCCATTTTTTTTTTTTTTGAGATGGAGTCGCGCTTTGTCACTCAGGCTGAAGTGGAGTTGCATGATCTCTATTCACCGCAACCTCTGCTCCCTGGGTTCAAGCAATTCTCCTGCCTCAGCCTTTTGAGTAGCTGGGACTACAGGCATGTGCCACCACATCTGGCCAATTTTGCATGTTTAGTAGAGATGAGGTTTCTCCATGTTGGTCAGGCTGGTCTCGAACCCCTGAACTCAGGTGATCCACCTGCCTCAGCCTCCCAAAGTGCTGGGATTACAGGCATAAGTCACCTTGCTAGGCCCTCCAATATTTTTTTTTTACTGATTGTTAATAATACATATTTTAAAATTTAATTATTATTATGAATGAGTTTATTGCTAATATATAGAAATCCAGTTGGCTGTGTATTTTGGTTTTGTATCCTGTGACCTTGCTGAACTCACTCATTCTAGGGAGTGTTTTGGGTTTTTGTTTGTGAGGTCCTTGGGATTTCCTACATAGATTATCACCCCATCTGCAAAGAAGAACAATGTTATTAACTGCTTTCCAATCCGTTTCCTTTTCATTATTTTTCTTGCTTTATCGTGCTGACTACAACTTCCGGGACTACATATGTTGAGTAAAAGTGTGAGGGAGGACATCCTTGCCATGCTCCTGATCTTGGAGGGTAAGCATTCAGCCTTTCACCACTAAATATAATGCTAGCCATAGATGTTTGTAGATGTACCTGGTAGAGTTGAGGGGAGCTCCTCCTCTATTTCTTGTTTGCTAAGACTTTCTTTTTTTCAGAGACAGGGTTTTACTCTGTTGCTCAGCCTGGAATGCAGTGTTGTGAACATGGCTCACTGCACCCTCCAACTCCTAGGCTCGAGCAATCCTCCCATCTCAGCCTCCCAAGTAGCTGGGACCACAGACAAGTACCACCATCCACCTCTCTAATTTGGTTTTTTTGTTTGTTTGTTTGTTTGTTTGTGATGGTGTCATGTTATGTTGCCCAGGCTGGTCTCAAACTTCTGGCCTCAAGTGGTCCTCCCACCTCGGCGATTTTCTTTTTTAAGTCATGAGTGAGTTTTGAATTTGTTCAAGTGATTTTTCTTCATCAATTGATATAATTATATGATTTTTCTTCTTTAGCCTGTTGATATGGTGAATTACGCTGACTGATTTTGAATACTGGACCAGCCTTCCATTAGCAGAATAAACCCCACTCAGTCATGGTGTATAGTTTGTTTTATGCGTTGTTGAATTCTATTTGCCAATATTTTGTTAAGGGATTTTGCATTGATTGATTTTTTTTAACTAGTGTCACCCGAACACCAGGGGTTTGGTCTAGGTCTTGCTGCTTATGAGACAAAAAGGTAATCACTGAGACAGCAAATATTGCAAAGAAAGAAGGCTTTAATTGGGTGCTGCAGCCAAGAAGATGGGAGCTCAGTTTCAAATCCATCTCCCTGACAGACTAAAGCTAGGGGTTTATATAACAGAGAAGAAATGTGACAATGTGTAAGAATATAGGAACTAGAAAGGGGCAAGGAAACAGTCATGAGGAGTGAGGGCTTCAGGTTTCTCATTGTCAGGATGTGGTGATCTGGTGAGTTTCAGTTCTCTAATACTCTTTTTGAGAGGTCTGAATGTCCTTTTCTGAGAAAGGAACTTAGATAAAACAAATGTAAGCTTCAAGTTTTAAGAACAAAAAGGTCATTTTCTATGTTTATCCAAAAGAACAGTCTATGATATTATTGGGTCAGTTTTACTATCACTGTTTGGTTTTTGCATCAGGGTAATAATGGCTTTATAAAATGAATTAGAAAGTGTTCCTTTCTCTTCTTTTTTCCTGGAAGAGATTGAATAAACTTTGAACATTTAGTATAATTTTCTAGTGAAACATCTGGGCCTGGAGACTTCTCATTTGAATTCTATTTTCTAATAGTTGAGCCTTGAAACTAGCCTTTCAAATTATCTATTTGCTATTGGGTGAGTCTGAGTACTGTGCTTTTTGAGAAGCTGGTCCATTTCATCTGAGTTGTCAAATTTATGTGTGTAGAGTTGTTTATAATATTCCCTTCCTATCTTTTTGATGGCTCCTAACTTTTTGAAAAACAAAACAACCTGAGATTAACAATCTAGGTCATAAATACATGATGCTCTGATGGCTTTCCCAACAGAAATTCCAAATAATTTAAATTATTGGGTAAAATATCTTTTGATACATATTGAAAAATTGTCCTTCAGAAAGGTTGCATCAATTTATACCTTTACCATCAGTGATAAGAGGGTTCTTTTTAATGTATCCTGACAAACACAGATAGTATTGTCTTTTCAACTTCTTTATTTGATTGGTGGGAAAAAAATGACATTTCTTTTAATTTCTATTTTCATAAGTAAGGTAAATTTTTTATGTGTTTATTGATCATTTTTATTTTTGAACCTCCCACGTTCAAGTAATTCTCCTGCCTCCGCCTCCTGAGTATCTGGGACACATGCCACCATGCCCAGCTAATTTTTTGTATTTTTAGTAGAGCTGGGGTTTCACTGTGTTAGCCAGGGTAATCTCGATCTCCTGACCTCGTGATCTGCCCATCTCGGCCTCCCAAAGTGCTAGGATTACGGGTGTAAGCCACCGTGCCTGGCCTTTACTTCCAGAATTTAAACTATTCAAACCCTTCAGGCCTAAGGACTATCGTGGAAGAAGTGGGCATGTGAGATTTCAAGGGCCGGTCTTGAGGAATTAAATTAATTCAGAGCCTCCGAATTCAGGACAAGTACACAGATGGCTCAACAGCTGAACAACATGCTTGTTTTGTACAGCTGAGTCCTACAAACCAAGCTCACAGTAGCTTAATGTATAGATTTGTAGATAAGTCAATTTTGTAACCTTGCCTTTTGACTTTTGGTTTTTGGCTCTTACATTGCTTAAAA